CCCTATAAAGCTTCGAGGGTTTTACCAAGCCGTACTGACCTGATTCTTATGCGCATCTAAAGTGTTCAGATGTTGAATCCCTTCCTAGTGTAACTAACTCCTTTATCGTTTATTGAGACGCAAACGGACTCTTCATTGGAATTTTACGATATGACAAAAAACAGTCGATCATTCAGATAGCCACTGTTGCTTCTCAACGGAATAACCGTAGTCTTTTTGCTCGTTTTTTTGTTTTTGCTTTTTTGTTTTTGTTTTTGTTTTTTTTTTTAATTGATGCTTCCAGTCATGATCAGTCTATGTAGTGGCATATTTTGATGAGCGCTTGCCGCCTCACTATACTGTTATGCGCTCAGACGCACGAATCGAAGCCGTACTAATCGGCGAAAGCTCGAACTGAACTGAGAACACGTGAAAAATCAACTCGCGCACGACTCTGTCGGTGAAAAATTTGGTTACACATTTTACTTTACTATTCTGTCGTATCTTTGCTAAACATAGTTGCTACTTTAATTTGCAATTGTCGATCGCGTCTAACGTGCATGACAAACCTAAAATCAGCGAGAGGTTGTGTTCACACAGGGTGCAGAAAACCAACATTTCTGTTACTGTACGGGAACTTACAACTACAATATGAACCATACCAAACTGCAAAGGGTATTTTAATTTGTCTTTCCTCATTATAATTCACTTATAAACCACAATTACACAAACAGGAAGAAAATCGTCTCATCTCTTATGGTAAATTTAACAACCAAAGGAAGAAACTCTAGCGTGACTAGCGACACTGGACCTAGCCTCCCAGCAGGCTCTTCGCGTGGTAAGAAAGAAGGAGAGGAAGGGGGAGGAAGACTTCTTCTCTTTTTCCTTTCCTACTTTCTTTTTCCGCTACTTTTTATCTCCGCGAAGAGCCTGCTTGCAGCCTATACTGAATTCGAGACTGGAGCCAGCGATTTGATAGTTCTTTGGCATCTTAATGTTGTCATGTTATTTTATACAGTTCGATACTCGGAATCGATACAGTCAAATAGATTCAATTTCTTCCAAGATAACCATTTTAATTGTTCCAGTGGTAAGTTTGTGACCGGAGGCTTGTGGTTGTCTCCACTTCAGTACAACGAACGAATGACGCCATTCCGGTCCTTGCTTTTCTTAATAAATTAGCATATAATTTCTCTCCCTTTTCACCCTGGGTCACGTTTTACCGATATTATGATAAATTAAAAGCCTCATGACATTGTATTAAACTATTGTAATCAATCTTCGCACATCCTCAGACACATTTGTATATTAACGCAACGTGAGTTTTGATTACGAAGTCCTTGGCATAAAAACTTCAATAAAGAGTCTTTGTTGAATAACTGTAATTCTAGCCCCGTCCTCCATCACTGTAGTAGATTCTTTATCACGCGATGACTTGTTCTCATTGCCAAGATCGCTGCCCGTCTTTGCTGGTGAGTAATCCTGTCCATTTGGTAGCTTATCTAACGATTTCTCCGACTTGTTATCAGTCCGCAAACAAGAGGGACAGTTTCCCTTCTTCAAAATGAGCGGTAACCTTCTTGATCTGCTCTCCTTCCTAGAGTCAATTGTTGGTCGAGCAGCTGAGTGGCTGTGATCTTCTTTAACAGATTTACAAGAGAGAAAATTACACTGTTCCTCTTCTTCTTCGCTTTCAAGGTCAATCAAACGTTTTGTAGTTTGTTGCCTTGGGCCGTCCTCTGGAGTTAGAGTTCTTCCAGTAAGTGACTCAGGTATCTTAGGAAGAGAGACCTCTGAAGACGCAGCTTTCGTTCTCCGTTTCGCGTTGAGTATCTCCTTTGGTCTTCCCAAAGAACATCTGTAAGGCGTATGGCTCATTAGAAAGTTGTTCAAAGCATTCTGCTTTAGTTTCTTGTCGAAGCAGACATGTAAATTCACACCATCACCTTTACTCCGCGTTCGAACAGGCCGATTTACCGCGAGGTCCATGAACACTTGTGCTGCTGGGAATTCGTGTGTAGTCTCACGAGCCATTTC